TATTCCCCATTTATCAGCCCAGAGAGACATTCTCCTTAAATCCTCATTAAGAATATCTGCAGCATGTCTGCCATCACCATCTATCAAAACATAAAGAAAAGTGTCATAAGCAAAGAGTTTGACATGGGATTGGAGTTCATCTTCTAGGTCATTAATAAATATTAAAAATAAATAAGGCCCGAGAACCGAGCCTTGGGGTACACCAACTTTTAATGTTTGTAAATTTGACTTGTAGCCATCTACTTATACCCTTTGTTGTCTATCAGTAAGATAGCAATGAATCCAGTTCAAAACGTCGTCACAAATTCCATATTTCTTCAATTTGTAAATCAATCCACTGTGCCAAACCCTGTCAAAAGCTTTGCTGATGTCACAAAATACTATCCTTGCCTCTTTTCCTTGATCAAGTTGTTTTGAAGCTTCATCAGATAAATATATTAATTGGTTAACTGTGTAATCATTGGGAAGGAAGCCAGACTGATTTTTTGATATAACATTATTCTCAGATAGAAAATTAAAGAGATGTTTAAAAACTTTTTTTTCAAGAATTTTACTAAATAATGATGTGACAGAGATTGGTCTATAGTTACTGGGGTCATCTCTTCCTCCCTTGCCCTTATATATTGGGGTAACATTAGCACACTTCCAAATATTAGGTATGCAACCAGTGGATATGGATTTGTTAAAAATTAACAGTAAGGGCTTTACAAGAGAGTCAGCAATACCTTTAATAAAATAAGGCGGAAGTGCATCTGGACCAGCAGGTTTTTTTTACATTAATAAGTTGGAGCTGATCATGAACATCCTGTGCAGTGATAATAATGGAAGATATTTTTTCTTGTGAGATAGGACAATTAGGAGGAATGTCAAGGTCAGTTTTGTCAGAAGTAGAGACAGAGGTGAAGTATGAGTTAAAAGATTCTGCTTTATCCACAGGATGTGATTTAAGTTCGCCATTTATTACAAGAGGAGCATCATTGTTTGATTTATTGTTAATGTTCATAATAGACTTTGCAACCCGCCACCACTTCCCTGGAGGAATAGATTTGTCAATAAGGGAATTTTGGAGTTTAAGAAGATAATTTTGCTTAGCTTCTCTTACAAGGTCAATAACTGTGTTTCGCATATATCTAAATGTTTGCTAGGCTGCAGTAGTATTAGTATGTTTGGCCCTGGTATGTTGACGATTTCGTTTCCTAATGTGTAATCTAATATCATTGTTCATCCAGACTTTATCATTTGGACGAATAGTGACAATTTTATGTGGTACATATTTTTCAATACAATTATGAATTTCACTGGAAATAAAATTATTCATAGTCTCTATATCAACATTTTCATTCAAACATGTATCCCAATCAATATTAGATAAATAGATGTTAGCATTAACAAAGTCAGTATCACTTAAGTACATAATTGTATTTTTATATGCAGATTTTTTATGAGTTTTGAAAGATATATGGCAACTAATTGGACTGTGGTCACTACAAATTGGAGTTTTGGACAGAGGGATATCAGTATTGTTGGTGTAGAAGAGGTAGGAGTAGTTCTTGTAGGTTCGTGACTAATATTAGTAATGCAAAACTTAGATGATGTGATAATTTGGTTATACGTTTAGCATATCCTGATTGATGTCTCCAATAAGTATATAATCTTTACCAAGTTCAGTGATATTGTCCAAGGCATCATCAAGTTTACTCCAATAATCTACAACAGAGTTTGGGGGTCTATAGATGCAACCTAAGAGTATTTTTCTATGACTAAGGGTAATTTCAATCCAAATGATTTCTAAATCTGCTTTCTCTAAGTCTAGTCTCCTTTTAGATATAATTTTGTCATTGGTATAAATAAGAACTCCTCCACCTCTTCTATCAAGTCTGTCTTTCCGGAAAATATGAGGGTGATCAGATAAAGAAATAGCATCGTCAGGGATAGAGTCATTGAGATGAGTTTCCGTAAGGCAGATGATGTCATGTTAGGCAAGTTCAGTCTCAAGGATTTCAGTTTTATTTCTAAGTGAGCATATCTTCAAATGTGCAATTGATATGTCATCAAGGAGTGAGTAGTTTCCCATATTACCTGGAGGACCGGGATTGGTATGGATATCCATACACAGTAAAATAAGTTCAATTTTGATGATAAGCATAAATATTATATTCAAAATATCCTCTCCATGTGAACTGTGTAGATATGAAAAAATCAATTTCATTTTGGTAAGTGATATTTTGCGATGCGTCACCCCCTACACACACATGCTACAATCATTAACCGTTATCAATATTGATGAATGATATTAGGTTTCTAACAGTATGTGGTAGGCATGACGTACAGCAACAGTATACACAAAAGTGTGAATATATGAAATGTATGCAGGTGATACTTCAATGAAAATATGTTTGAAATGATAGGATAATTATAGGGACAGTCACTATTTACAATATGTAGATGCAAGTACAAACATAGCAAGCTACTTACACGAGCGCTGGACCTGGACACATTCTCAGCCTTCCATTCATTGTCATTAGGACACTCACGTTACTATAGCTATATTTACAACACATTCAAACCTTCAACCGATACAGAGTATGCACGCTTGCAATTACGTAGTACGTGTGGACAAATCAAATAGTAATAGCCGTGGGTGTATAATACAGAGGGGTTCCAATAAGAATTAGTTCAATCTGCCGATACAGCCAATTAATGGTAGGAGTTCATAACAAAAACATGACCACGTGTTTGATACCAGTACCGAATCAGGATTTAATATGTATATTTTCATCGAGAAACCAGAAAAAGAAAACGTTTACGGACGACGGACGCAAATAAAGCAAATGCACCACGTGACAAATGTTTTCAGGCAAAAAAAGAACAACAGAACCAGTCTCAGCATGTCCATGTAAGATGATTATGGTAAGACTATTGGAAGTTATTCAGAGCGGAAAAAAATACAAGAAGGTCCGGAACAACGTATAACTTTGATAATGCTTAAAGATCTCTTCACCGTTTTGGTTATTTAAAAAAGAATGACAGAATTGTATATGTTGATGAAAAACATAAAATGCCTTAGGTTTGAAGATTTCTTTTGATCTTATAAATAACAAATATCTTAATACAAAAACCGTTTGAAATTAGAATTTTGAAGTTCTACAGCGACGAATATAAAACAAATACAGTGTATCTGTAAAAATGATATGAATATTGTCGAATGATGAATGCATCTTGTATCAGTTTTCAGTTGGTACAGGTTATGTCGGCATACTTTTTAGATTTAATCAATTAAAGAAATACAGATAGAGTGTCACGTTTAGATTCAACTTTTTAATGCGTTGACGCTAAATATGTTCTGCGATAATGTGCAGAGTTATCCAAACTCATTAAGTAGAGTGCAATCATGACTGCTTATTAATTATATGAAACAAATTATCTTCTACAGAAACGTGTAGTTCATCTCAAAATCAACAAAATAGTTGTCGTTAGATGCAAATGTAAATACTGCCTAAGGTTTGTGGTGCACTTCACTATGTTTAAAATGTAGGAAGTACCTTTAACAGAATTTGATTTGTTTTTAAGGAATGAAATTTTGTTAAGTTGATTTATTGGTAAATTATATTTTTTTCAATATTTGAAGTGTTTGACATTCCTAATTATTATTGTGTCAATCAAACTATTATTAAAATGTTTTTCAATTGTTTTATTCCTTTCTCAGCCAAATTAGCAAACTCTTATCTTAACTAGAAACACTACTTCATATAATATACTAATTAATTTGTATGCCATGTATGCTGTGCTTTGCTACTCAATAATATACTATGCTATGTATGAATTAATTAATTAATTAATAACGTGAAAATTGGAAAGAAACGATTATATCGTAAAAGGATTATGACTTGCACAATCAATCTTGCATATTTTTTTGGAATTAGTTTGGTCGATGTATTCATCTACAATCGGCAACCCTACCTATGCCGCTACAACAAAGATGAAATTGTAGACCAGCAAGAAATAATAGATACAAAACCAGAAATTGTTTTGCGGTAACCAAATTTCCATAAACATCGGGAAACCATCTTTAATTATTATTATTTAGTTTTTAATTTCGCTAGAACCTATTTTCATATCTATTTCTCAATTAGGGAAATATTACAGTTTGTTTGTGACGTCTAAATCTATTTTGGGCACATGTAGCTTTCTCTCTGTTGTAGTTTTATTAAAACTGCACGAAAACGTTGAAGCCCTGAAAACAGAAATGAATACAATAATATTGCTTAAAATATATATCTTATGTCACCCTTGAAATATTATCTATCAGAAAAAAACTATTGTCGAAGTAGCTTCGTTCTGGATATTAATTTTCACTAGAACACACAGTTAAAACTTGCAAGTCCGATGTACGGTAACAATTTAACGGCTATTACAGGATACATATAATTTATTTTAGGAACGTCTTTATTTTTAAAAATGTAAGAAATATCTTTTGGCCTATTTCTGATAGGGTATTGTCGCTATCTTTATGAATCAGTCATCTTTTTCTTCTGAAAATAAAGAATGTGATGTGATGCTCTATAAATATTTATTGAAATGTAAATTCCACTTATATCTTTCCAAGAACTTACTGATACAAAAATATAATCAAATGAGTACCTTCTTGGACATATTGTTTCGGCAAAGTGAAGGCCAAACGAAACCAGCCTGGGACCTGACAAAACATTTCCTTGCCTGGATAAACGAAGAGACCAGCTTCCATAAACATGTTGAACAGTTTCATTTCCTCCTCACTCGTTCGTTCCTTTAAAAACTTACAAAAAATGAATTCATAGTCAAAACTTTTATATTGTTACCACTAGAAATGTTCACACTTCATTTATATAGATTATTGTGTGTTTTAGTACCTAACTAACCGTGTAACATGTTATACGACTTCCTTATAAATGGTTGTTTTAATGTCGTTCTCATTGTGCTATGTTGTTAAAGGGAAACACAAAAGAAAATCGCAAAAATAGTCATTTGAACCCACAGTCGACCCCAGAAGACGATTTTAACTAATGTGAGTTAAGAACAAAAACAAAACAAAATAAAACAACGCTATACAAAATCTCCGGGTTTTTTTGGCGTTTCCTGCTCCACATGTGACACTTGTCCTGATGTCTCGCATTAATCGTTATGAAATATGCATATCGTCACCGATCAAACACAAAGTGAACTACTAATTAATTGCCAGAGACAATGGATGTAAAAATAATTACTCTGGACCTTACAATACACTAGTTCGGTATCAACGCTCATTGAAGCGTATAAGGTAGAATATGCTAGCCATAAATATTTTTGGTCAGAAGACCGTATTTTTCATGTAAATAAGTAAATTCTGATACTACTAGGTCCTCGTATATTCATAACTGCAGGCCATGGAGTAGTGATTTGTCATATTAGGTCCACGAACAGGGCAACTGGAGAAAGTCGCCGTATCTGTCATAGAGGCTGAGAACAACAATGACGTACTGTCATAAGATGAGAAAATATTTGTAAATAGACGACCGCTTTGTATGTGTTGATTTGTAACACTATAACGTTGACTACCTGGGATAAATCCATCCAGAAGAAGATCACATTTCGACAGCTGTACGCTGTAGGAATATTCAACTCATCCAGTACATCTTTCACTAGTTTATAAGTCTCCTTTGCTCTGTTGTAATAGGTAGGGAAGTAGGTGTTGTTTAGCCATTCTGGAAAAGAGATACTTATGTAATCAGTCACTTGCAGGCGTAATAAAACCACTTGTACGTTATCATACCATTCAAGCATTACTTGGTGTTAAAGTACAGTTGTGTGACCGCACAACGCACCAAAAATACCGTGCGCTCTCCGTGCATACATCGTTCACACACCGTTCGCACATCGTCCACACATGGTGCACACAACTGTGCGATTAAACAATCGTTCGCCCCGTTGTGCGCTTCTCTCCGCACAACTGTGCGATATGGTACAATTTGTTGATCAATATTACGGAATGAAAACAATACGGAAGGCTCGTATGCAATAATGTACACTGTATATATAACTGTAATTTCTCATCACAATAATTAGGATTATGTACAAGATACCAAAACGTGTTACACAGTATACAGTGACCGTTAGACTGTCAAGAATGGGTTTGGCTCCTCGTAAGAGAACAGGTAAATAACAATTTGATGAGTGACCGGAGTTTTACCTGGCCTTTGCCTGACACTTGATACCGTATGACCGTTCTGAAAACACAACTGGACGTTTAATATTTGTTATTTGCATTCGTTTTGGTCTATAGCTCCCTTTCACCTGGTTTTCACTCCTTGGCGATTTCCGTAAGTGCCCCGGGCGGGGGGAAAACTACGGTCCAGGTAGAAAGTGGCTATGTTTACCTGTGTTGCCGAGACTGTGTTGTAATTTTGCATGTGTCGATTAAGGTCGACAAACCGAAAACACCATTTCTATATTGAAGAAAGTATAGACAGAAAGATCAGCTTATAGATGTAGCTTGAATATAGAAACATACTAAAAAATCAAGTGTATATGTTTAAACACGAAACCGTATATATTGTTAAGCCATTCCTCAATTTACACAAACCACGATTGTTATCGCACGACGTTCGTCGATCGTCCGCACAAATGTGCGCAAGCAATGATCGTCAAATTTTTGATCGTTCGCACTTCGTGCACACATCGTTCAGACACCGTTCACACATCGTGCGCACACCGCACATCGTGTAACGTTGTGCGATCCCACAACTTTAACAGTGTGTAATACAAAGTAATTTATTGATATATTTTTGTTTTAAAAACAAATAATTATTTCATTTCTGTACTATTATGCTGAATGTGTTTTCTCCTTTCGTCTGCTCCTATTCTGTCCATCGTGTTAGTGTGGCGTCTGTGGTAGGTCTTGTTTCCACACCTATTCTACCTTCGTTTCTAAAGTAGGATATGCATTACCGTAGTGTTTTTAGCTCACCTGGATCGAAGAACCAAGTGAGCTAATGCCGTGGCGCGGCGTCCGTCCGTTGTCCAGAGTCAATATTTTACTTTAAACAACTTCTTCTTTATAACCAAAAGGCCTAGGGTGATGGTATTTGGCCAGAAGCAAACTTGGATGAAGAGCTACCAAGTTTGTTCAATGAATGACCATCACCCATATTCAAGGTCAGAGGGGTCAAATATGCTCAAATCTTTAAACAACTTCTTCTGAATTATAAAAAAACCAGGGTGATGATATTTGGACAGTAGCGTGCTGGGATGAAAGGCTACTATGTTTGTTCAAATGAATGACCTTAACTCATATTCAAGGTCACAGGGGTCAATTGTCTAAAAAAAGTAATTTAAAACCTCTTCTGAATAACTAAAAGGACAAGGATGTTAATATTTGGTCAGGAGCATGCTGGGATGAATTCTACCAAGTTTGTTCAAATGAATGACCTTGAATCATATTCAAGGTCACAAGGGTCAAATATGAATAAAAAACTTTTAAACGACTTAGACAACCCAGATATTTGATATTTGGCCAGTAGCATACTGGTATGAAGGGCTATCAATTTTGTTGAAAGCAATGACCTTGATTTGTATTCTAGTTCACAGGGGTCAAATCTGTTTTAAATCTTTAAACTACTACTTCTGATAAACTAACTCTGACCTACGTTTTGACCTTTGACCTTCATCAAAGAAAAAAATTGTCCGGGCTCTTTATCCTTCACTACTAGGTAATGGAACTTCATACTTGGGGTATGGGCTCATCTTGGAGTATCGAGTATCAAAAGTAGGTCTCTCTGACCTACATTTAGACCTTTGACCTGCATGAAAGAAAGTTTGTCCGGGTTGGATCTCCTACACTACTAGTCACTGGAACTTTATACTCGGAGTATGGGTTCGTTTTGTGAGGCGGTGTGTCGTATATCAAAGTATGTCACTCTGTTTTGACCAGGTCACTGACACTGAGGGTGTGTCAAACATTCATATATAGAAATAGTTCCCGCACGAACTTATCATCTGTGCAGTTCACAATCGGTGGGGGAATTATAATTCGCCGAATTGTCTTGTTTAGTCAAATATGTATAAAAATGTAAATGACCTAATCTCAATGAAGTAAAGGTCTAGGGTGTTGATATTTTGCAAGTTGCATGCGGGCTATACAATTTGTTCAACATAATGACCTTGTTCGACTTTCAAGATCACAGAGGTCAAATGTTTTTAAATCTTTTAATAGATTTTTTAATGACGTATAGTCATAAATACTTATATTTTGCCTGTAGCCTTATCTTAGATCATTTTTAAGGTTACGAGTAAGAGATAAATACCAGATGGGCGCTGCAGGTCCGTCGGGCCTCTTGTTTTGTCCTAGTTTGTCTTTCATATTACGATTGAGTGTTTGGTATGCATTGCTCTATGTGTTTGCTATGAATTCAGGTTAGGTGTTTAATATGGAGTACCTGTGTCGGACAGAATGCCATTGATCAACATTTGTGTAGGGGCAGGTATGGAACAAAACATTGCCATCTTCTTCAGGTGATTGATGACCCTCACATCATGGGAATACACAACACCACATCGAAATCCTGATAATCCAAAATCCTAGGAAACGTGAAACATGAAAATATAAACTCTTCTTTATATCAGATAGCTATATATTTTTTTTTTTAAACAGGTATTTTCTTACTTCATATGTCTAGTGATTATTTTAACTCAAATAGACTGTCTTGGATTTTTTTCTGTCAATGTGTCCATGACATATTGGCCAAATGTTAATAAATGTGCCATGTTATGTGGTGTTAAGGAATTAAATCTCTTTCTCTGTATTTATACATATGTTAAAAAAATATTTTTTGGGAAAAGAGTTTCATTATTATGAACACAAAAGCGGAGAAATTGTTAATATGGCGCAGAAACAAGGTTGACTTTGTTTGGCTATTCTGCTTGAATTTTTTATAACAGGTGCTTCATCTCTACATTTTTCCGATGTTTATTCTTTTATAACAATACTTGCTAAATTTCGGTAAGTCATGAACGCATGAATTGCTATTCATTATTGTACATGAAATGTGTTTAAAACAACGTTATATTTTATATCATTTGGATCAATAATTATATATTTCTATTTCTTATATATTACCTTACTTAAACCCCAAATGAAGTGAGTCTTGTCTGGATCAGGAATGGGCATAGACAAAACACTTGTAAAACAATCTTGACCTTGTGTCGACAAAGCATATATTTCATCAAATATGACGTGGAGGTCCTCTCTGTCAGTAAACAAATAACGTATTTGTATGAAACTGTAATGCAGACCAAGAACAGAAATGATGAAGTCATCATAAAAGCAAAGTAGTTACCGTTTGCAGAACTCCATCAAATCAGCAAGTTCGTGAGGGGTATATACTTTACCCGTAGGGTTACTTGGACTAGTTAAGATCACTCCACGGACATTAAAACCCTACAACAAAACAGATGATTACATTATATAATAAACATAATTGAAAAAAAAAACATTTGAAATTAAGGTATCGATTACAGATAACGGTATATGATAATTGGATATAAATAGCTTTTGTATTATGTCTCAGAAGAAGGATGATATTGCGTTGTGATACTTCGAAAATGTATTGAATTGCAGTATATTGTTAAACATTAAAAAAATAAAGTGCGTTATAACACCTGTGTTTTATATGTCTATACCACGATAATGATGGTAAATGACCCCTTTGTTGGATGTTCTTGTTTTTGTTTGCAACATAAAGTCAAAAGATCCAGTTTAGAATTGATGAGTTGAAGACACTATAAAAGTTGACAACATCCCGAGGCTACAATTAATTATAACACTTCCTCCTTACTTCTTGTTTCGCTCTTTGCAAGTATGAACCCAACAGGTCTGTACGCATTTTACATGGATCAGCCGAACATTCCTCCTGAAATTATCAGTTCTATGCTTTAAAATCAACGAAAAAAAAGCTTTGTTATTGTAGCCTACGTATCTATATAATCTACATTTACTTTGTAAACAGTATCTCTGTATTTGGAAAAGTGATATCAAAATTCAAAACATATACTACGGTATGACTATAAACAACATTCGTTAATTACAAAAATGAATTGGAACATGTTGAATAGATGCACCTGTGCAATTAGCCTCAAAGTAAGTAAACCTAGTTTAGATTATCAAAGTTCTAAATCTGCTATAATATATGTTTAAACGTGTGCTATAAACAACCAATGATTGAAGACAATATTTCGACTTACGTCAAACATTGGTACCTCGTAGATGTCTACTCCACCTATGTCTAACATGTCGTATTTAAGATTTATGTACGCCGGGGTAGGGCACAGGAAAACATCTGTCAAACGAATACATGCCTCATATAAGTGGGATCCTTATCCAACGCACCCTGCATCAATTTGATACTAACTATCGCTTTAAGGCTATTTAAACTATGTGCTTTATTTATAACAAAAAAAACACCTGGCATACTCATAGCCTCTGTCAAATTATTTGGTTAAATTCCCAATTAGTGCAACATCCATACCGCATAGGTATACTAACTAAAGTAAAATATTCATGTTTTATCATTATTAATGATGCAAATTATTGTATTCGTTATTTTGTTTGTTACACTTTATTAAGAATTGTTATATTTTATAGCACCATTTATAAGTCCTAATAATTGTTTATATAACTCCAGAAAGAATCATGAAAAACATTTATATTTCTTTTCTGACAATTCCAACACATTTAAGTACAGGCCTCAATTAAAAGCCCTAATTTCCCATTGACGCAAAATTGAAGTTTTCGCTAACTACTGGTTAAAGTCAAATAGCATTTTAGCAACCGGGCTTGAGCTCTATTTATTTTAAAATTACCGTATATTTCATATTGAAACAATTTCAGGTAGGGTATCTGCTTTTTTATATTTTATTTAAGCGTGATTTTAACAGGGGCTTTTTCAGAACGGAGATCATATATTCATCTGACCATCTTAGTTTTATTTTCAGATATTTATTGATGTTCTGTCAGTAAATATCTGTCAGTAAATAATATGAATTGCGAAACCTAACTGCATTTCCTTTATCATTCAGAACTTGTAATCATGTATACATCCGACTTATATTATTAAGTATAATAAATTAATATTGATCTACAGTAGGGCGGGTGCCATATCAAACGCAGAAAACGTCTGAACGAGATCAAATAGCATAACGACATAGAAAGATAGGCTTGATAGCTTGATGCTCGTCATACCTCCAACATCTGCCAGAGCAAATGCCAGTGCATTCAGTGTTGCTGCCACTCCATCCAAAAGTATGATCTGAAATCAACAGCTTTTTGTTAAGGTATTTAGTTTACCTACTATCTAAACGTACAATAATCGTATGTACGATAAAACGTATGGAACATTTTCGAGTATTGTTAGCGGGAAGCCTTACCTACTATTTAAACGTACAATAATCGTATGTACGATAAAACGTACGGAATATTTTCGAGTATTGTTAGCGGGAAGCCTTATCATCAAACCCTATATATACCACAGCGTGCCTGATTGGATTATATTGATGACGTGACAGAGAAATAAAAATACCATATTCCCCATGCGTATTCGAGAGGCTTTGGTCACATTTCCTTTATTCCGAGCCACTGTAAAAACAAGCAAGAGGTACAAATGTACCAGATCTCCGAGTGACTGCAGCAGACTAAAACAATGACGTATCAGCAACATTAAGCCACACTAAACAACGATGAGTATGGAGTTAGGTTGATTATCAGTTACATTTATTAAAGTAGAATACAATTCAATTTGGCAGTTAACGCCACCAACGTAATTTATTCTACCTTTACACGTCATATTTTTAGATTTGTTTTGAAAATCAACACAATCAATGTTGTGAATCTTGTAATGATTGACATGTTACCGACCGATGATGTACTATTTGATTTATAATTTTTGACAAACTTACGTTTTCCTCTTTGATTCTTATCGTGCTTTTGAAGTGTTCCTCTATGAACTTGCTGAAGGTTTTCCTTACTCTTTAACAATGTAAAATGTAACCTATTTCATACAGTACTTACACAATAGTTAACCAAAATACACATTTAGATAGAAAGTTAAAAAAATCAAATATTTGCTGATTTGTTGAGACATACGTCATTAAAGAATATCATATGTCCATATTACTTGTTTCATATTCGTCTCCAATATATAAAAAACAGTATACTAATCTATATGTTATGTTGTCTACAATATAAATAAAGAGCATGCTTTGTATCACTAATACGTGTCTAGCTCGTATAAAGTTGATGAATAAATATACATACATGTATAAACCATATATATGTTGTTGGATAAGTTACATCAGGATTTATTACACGGTGCTGTTTTTGAATTGAAAAAAATAATATGAACTTACCGGTACAATCCACAAGGGTTGTAATAGTAAAGAACGTCTTTGCTCACACAGTCAGTTGACCGTGATATCTCAGCAATCTATAACATTCAAATGACACTGTTGCAAACATATATCTGTATCATATGTCAAACAGACGCAATCACAAATATACGAAACTCTCTAATCGCGGTATTATAACTTCCATTAACGTATTTATATAGCACCTACTATTTACAGGTTATCTAAAGAATGACGTGCTCTAAAATTTTGCCTGCTTTACTTTCTTTCCTGTTGTCACTGAAAGTATTGCATTCTGTACTTCAAACCACGTTTAAAGTTAATATTTAGTTTATACAAGACTACCTTTGGACGAAAACTTACCTTTTTTAGCCATAGGTCTTCACATAACTTGTTTTCTGCTAAACCAAGATCAATGTATCCCTTCGTGTGAAAAAAATGGCTAACGACGTTAGTTTAGACGAAATCGATAAAGCTGTATTCAAACTAATATATAAAATGTCTTAATTTATTATTTTGATAATTTTAACTTATCATGTTAAAAAAACAATTACATTTATTTATTTACGTAAATACATTTATCTAATGCCTTAAGCAAACTCATTGATCAATATCCTTTATTTAAAAATGCCTATCTAAATTGATATGTTCTCACAACAGTTACCCTCTAAACATCATTAAATTTCGTCCCCGAGAAGTAATGTCCCTGTACATGGATATATTTCTGTTAGAACAATGACCATTAATACATCGAAAACAAATAATATCACTGTTACCCGCGGATTTGTAACATGATCGTAACGGTAAGCCGCTACTTTTTTGGTGTTGAATAGAAGGACACTTTCTTTCGTGGAGTTTTGAGCCCTTTTCGAAGTCATGTCTGCAAAAAACGAATTATATTTAAGGCATCGAATCATTGGTTTGATACTATCCCACAGATTAAAACTGGATGTAATGGACACCGATAATACAGTTATGATAATGATTATTAAAATGTAGGTAGTAATTTTCCTGCGATTTTGAAAATTTGTTTGTTAATGCGGGGATTTTCCTAAATTAAAATCAATTGCTAAATTTTGTGGTTATGAGCGAGTAATCCTTGCTATTTTGACATGAACAGGTGGTTAATTTCTGGCCAAACTATGCCCACTAAAAAGTTTTTTCACATTTATTGAAAGTAGTTTAGTGTTACAAGTCAATTTGCAGTTTTGCTAAAATCTGGAATGAGATAATTTCTGGTGGCGGCGCCAAGTACCAGATACAACTGTAGGAACCAAAGCATGCACTAAAGTTCTATGTGTGGTCCTTGCCATGTGGCGGGTTCGAGGTTGCCACCAGCAATAATAAGTATGTAGTGTTTATTTTTCTTTAAATTACAGCTATTCAAAATGACGGCTGACCACAGAGTCATGTCTTTATATAGCTTATTGGCAGATCTTGTCACACATTTATTTATTTTAATTGAGGTGGCCCCAATCCCAATTTTGGGAGGTAACCTTTTGGTGACGAAGCCATGTCCACAATCGCCAAACATAGCATAAAGACAACAAAATTATCACAGTTTATTGGCTTTTGTATAGGGTTATTCAGAATTGTTGAAGGAATATTAAAACAGTGTGAACTGAAGTTTTGATTGTTTGTTATCCCTGATAATGGGTTCAAACTCTAGTATTACATGTATGAAGTACTACGTGGTAAACAGTCAATGTTAAATAAACGTGTTAACCTTTTGGTTTAGAGAACTTTATTTTGAAAAACAATTATAATGACATCCAAGATATTTGTATTTCCATAACATTGTGCAACAAGAGGCCAAAAGGGCCTGTATCGCTCACCTTAATATGTTTAAAATAATTGGTATGAAGTAAAGATATAGCACTCCATGGTAGGTGCTGTAAGTACATATGAAATTTCAGAAAGATCCATCCAGTACTTGAGATTTGCCGAGAACAAACTTCAAACAGAGCCCCATCCCTATGCCCTTAGGGGGTCATACCCAACGTTTATACAAGATTGAGTCCCCTTGGCTTAAAGGATGCTCCAGACTAAATAAGGATAAAATCCCGTAATCCCGATGGTCGAAGAAGGATTTTAAAGGTTTTACTTCTATTTCTCCTATTGGGCCCCAGCCTTTTGCCCTCTGGGATACCACACCAACTGCTAATACAAAATTGACTCCTCTTGGCCCAAGGATGCTCCAGACTAAACTAGAACTGTAAGCCAAAGGTCTAAAGATGATACAAATTGAAACTTTTATGAAATACCTGAAAATTTAGTGGGTGAAAAGGTTATATGATGCAAATTTGGATTGGCAAAGTTTAGCAAAATCTAATTTTAGTAAATTCTGGAGGGGAGAGGTTATGGAATATGAAAAAACAAATCTGGAGGAAATATCGAAAAATTATAACTAATGTTTTCTGGAAAGATGTTATTTTAGCATGAAAATAATATAAAGATGATAATAATGAAGAATCAGGTTTTCTTGGCGATGGTCATTTGAATTACATACCAGTTCCTAGTTTCAAACAATGTATTGAATATGAAAGGAATGGGGTAAAGACAGTTAAGGACTTGTTGAACAATAATTATCAGTTTTTTGTCATTGAATGATATTAAGACTAAATTTGAGAAATGATATTTTTTACAATATTTTTCAGTAATAGATCACATTCTTAGAGAAAAGTTAAACATAATACGACAACAACAATTGATCAACAATCCATCAGAAAACAGTAATTTTTGTAGAAGACACCTTCAAGCTAAAGATCTTAGACATGGTTATAACGCGATTGTTGCTAACTACAAACATTATCTAGTTGAAAGGCAGGAACAATGGAATAGAAAGTTAAATACAAATTAAAATGATGATATAGGTTGGTAGAAAATGTATTTAACAAGCTTTCTGGTGACAATTGACACAAAGCTTTAAAATCTACAATTTAAGATTCTTCATAGAATATTAACAACAAACAGTTTTCTTTACCAAAATAATGTTAAGGATGAGGATCTATGTACTTTTTGTAGAGATGCACCAGAATCAATTGAACACTTATTTTTTAACAGTGTGAAAATAAATGATATATGGAATTATTTAATAGCTTTGGTAAATGACTTGAATACCAATATTATCATTATTTATCAGATGAATATCAAGGATATGTTATTTGTTTTTGTGAAAAGGGTCCTCCTATCATAAACTATCTCATACTGATTATTCAATATTATGTCTATACATGTCGATTCAAAAATATTGAACCGTCTTTCAATGATGGAAAAAGACGTATTATTCAACAATAACAGATTGAAAAAAGATGTCATCTTTGAATGACACAATGAACAAGTTTAACCAAAAGTGGTCTCCCCTTAATATTTGAGAAAAACAAATTTAACATTAATTGCATATCCGGGTTAACTTACAACCCGTAAAGAATTAATTAAAACATGAAGAAAGATTGTTTGATATTTAAGTAAATAACAGGCGTACATGTGTGTATTATATTTGTCTTGTGTATGTGTTATGTTGATAAGTATGTTTATTGTTTTATGTGTATGTGTAGACCCAAATGGCATGGTAAATATATAATTATTTATTGTAATAGAAAGGATGGATGTATCCAAATATCAATGTCTTAATATAAATAATGTTTACAATGTCTATATGCTGGTAGGCATGCAAGGATGTATGTGTAAGGTTACGAGTATATGTACAATCATGTGTGGTATATATGTATGACTCAAGCAATATTTATGTCATTTCGAGTGTGTATACTTTATTTATGAATACATAATTTGTAGTTAAATTTCACATAATTGTACACTGTTTATGTTTTTGTGTCAATGCATATAGGTCTAAATTGGTAGGTACATTAGTATTTGACCATTTTTTTTATTTTCCCCAGACATTCCTTCTTAAGTTATTCCAAATTACACATTAAAAACAACATCATTCAAAGTACATGAATTCGGTTTTATCTTGTCTAAATTTTAGGAAAATATGGCAATCCCAAATCAATAAAACAGAATTTTTGGCATGCAAATGAATTTATAAATATAAAAGTACTTTCAATATTTGAATATATAAAGGAATGGTTGATGTAATTTAAAAAATCATTTTAATCAACGAAATATTTTTGTTATGGTAATGAATGAAATATACGTATGAAAGAATAAATGATTTTGAGTTTGAGTATGAAAGAATGAATGATTCTGAGTTTGAAAGATGAAATGAAAAAGAAATAGAGAATGAAGAGAAAGAGGCCGTTTGCATGAGGCTATTTTATGTAAGAGGGATGATCCCGGGGCACCCCAACCCTGGCATTCCTCAAAAAGATGCTTGGGGAATAAAATTCAATTTGAACCTAAAAAAAAGAAGAAAACGATACCGATCATTCATGCAAAGTCTCAATGATATCCACCTGTTAGTTAAGGAGAAGTTGCGCGGACAAGTATTTCGCACAAAGGGGCATAACCCCATCAAAAAAGGTCGAAATCCCAAATTAAAATGCCGGTGCACTACAACATAAGATATCGATTATTCATGCAAAGTTTCAATGAAATCCACCTGTTAGGTAAGGAGGAGTTATCCGGACAAATTACTGTGGACGACAGACAGACACCCAGACATCCTGACAGAGCGATTCCAGTATACCCATTACTTCGTTGCGGGGGTATAATTAAGGATGTACATCTCTGAGAAGTTAAAAAATTCCTGTATTAAACTTTTTTTCTTATATTGATTTTTGGAAAAAGGAGATAATGGAATAGTAGAAAATGCAAAAAAATATATATGTCTGTGTGTTCGTTTTTGTGCTATGATCGGTCAAAGATATCAATTTAACACAATATTTGATTTTAGGTGAATTTTCGGGTTTTGACTATTTGCAGAACAAATTCATACCCTAATATGTAAAAAAAAATACCAATAATATATAACTTTCCACTTTTTTGCATATTATTTTAACAATATTGAACATTATAAAGTTGTACAGCAAAATTGAACTTTTTCCAAAATGGCCGCCGAATTGGTCATTTTTTTCAAATTCTTGTAATAAATGTTTTGCACACAACAGACATATATTTTTTTGACAAGTTTTTCAGATGTGTTTGCTATTAAACCTATCATAATTTGTTAAATATTAAAAAAAACTCGTTACACCAGATCAAAGCGAGACTTGAACGTGACTGAAACCTCAGAAGGGTACATCCTTATTACAAAATTGGTTCCCCTTCACCCAAGGATGCTTCATACCAAATTTGGACAAATTCTTGTCAGTCGTACAGAAGAAGAAGGTATTTGAAGCACATGTTTATGTTTATTTCTGCTAGGATTTCCTCTTCTTATTTTGGAACATGCTGATCAGTACCAAAAACACTGTCGTTTGTTTATCGTATCATTCCATGTGGATTGTTCTCCCTATAACCATTTCCATAGTTCAAACCAAAGTGACGGAACGGATCATTTTCGTTCTCCATGTAAAACAAATTTTGAAGTAAATTGTGTGTTAAAAAAAAGAGTAAAAGACCAAGACAATGTTACAGCTTCATACATGTGTACTGTATCTATATGCAAATCCATAATCTAATATAGTAACGGTAGACCTGAACACAAAATTGTTTAAGGTTTATCATATAGATAATTGACCAAATGATGAGGTTTATCAGAATCATATGATGTAATTGTAGCGTTGAGAAAAGGTTATGTGTGTATAAGTATGGAACACAACATTCCCTACACCCCCAACCTCCCAAAACGTGAGGGGTTAGTCTGCTCCTCTCTCAGATAACAAAGTTTAGTACAGAAGCCCGTTAGGTTATACAAGAAATATATATATATTGTTTTTACGCTGTAACTATCGCTTTAAAATGTATCATTTAACCA